GCGAAAGCTACAGCCTAATCCTTGGTCCCAGAAGTTAGACTTGACGATGTCTTCTTACACTGCACGTTACGAGCCCAAGATGGTAGGTTGGCGGGACTAGTTGGTATTTCTACGCCCCAAATGTTTGTGGTTTGACAGAAACCGTTATGCGTCAGGGTGTAACGGCTCATCCGGACTGAGAGTGAATTCCCTGTTTGAATATTTGATGGCAATTAGTTTTAGTTTTCGTTAAGATAGTGTGAACGGTGCATCCTCGTAGGGAGGTTGCAGGATTGCGGGTCCCCTTCCCGGTGGTAGTTCTTATGTGCCCCATAAACGGGCCGCGTGATAGATGCACTGGATCAACACCGGGGGGCAGATCAGGGTACGGCAGCCGTTATTGGGGTTGTGTACCTATAACAAGTGCCGGACATGAGGGGCGGCTTGAGCCGCGCCAGCCACCTGCGCCCGACCCCGCCTACTCTTTTCTTGACACCGGGCCCCAAGTTGGCGAGAGTGTGGTAGATGCCGCGCAAGTCTACCAGTTACCGCCCCTGCACCATCCTGCATAGAGCATACGGTGGACATCGTCGAACCCGACGATAGAACTGTCGGTAACTGTCTTTAACTCGATCTTTCCCCGATTGTCAACTGTGAAGTTTATGAACAGTTCGCTTATATCCTCTTATATAATCATTTGGGGTCTTCCTGAATACACGTTTCCATCGGCTTCCTACCCCGTTGGATGTTTGCCATGACTAACGGAGCTTGTAGTGGATTTACAGTGGGCAAATGTGATCACAAGACAACGGACGACGACGAACCTCTGAGTGCCAATCCTAAACCGAAGAGAACCACACTACATGAGAGCCCCGGGTTCTAGAAGGAATTCTGGATTTAAAAATATAGTGCTCAGGCAGTACCAGGGGCACTGGAGAATACTTCCGCAAGCGAGGGTCTTGAAATTAAGATAGGTATTTTTGAATTCCCTTCCAGTTGTTTTCCAATGTCGCAGGTCTGACCAGTCGAGTATTAGAATGCCAGAGTATGGCTGTTGTTCCGCATTGATAATCAGCGTTTCTAACTCAGGTGCGATTGTGCCATGTTTGTCAACAGATGCCCGAGAGCTTCCCAAGCAGTTCCGAAACTAATTATACGAGTTTAAATACTTACAGTTCGTCACCCAGACGTTAGTGGTAACGGCCTACTTTACTTTCTTTTAGATCCGCCAAGGAACTGTGATAGGACAGGAAGTGAACGCTGACTCCCATGGTCGGAACCAGTCTTTCGTTAAACATGCACATATGTACACAACTTCCAATTTAACCCTTCTCCCTCCCGCCCTTCCAATCGAAATAAATCTGTCCCAACAGTCAAATTCCCAGAGAAGCCTGATGGACTTGTGTCATCCCTGGGATGAGAAACTATCGCGGTGGGCTAAGTTAATAGGTAAAACCCTAGCCAGTGCGATCTTCAGGCCCAGCTCCTTGTGGGGGAAAAAGAAGTGGGAGGCCAGAGTGGTAGGAATAGTTTATTCTGTACAGAAGGAGTGGAGAATAGGTAGAAGAAAGTTGACTGTCACACTGCATGTCCAGCCGCGAGGGGAGCTTGGTCCGAACTGATGAGACCGTAGGCAGTCACCGCAGTGAGGTCTTTTTTGAGTCTATCCTGAAAGGTGATTGGCCAGACCGGGGGAGGCAGGCACTTGTTAGCGGCCACGAGTGTGCGTGCACTGCACACTTTGTTTGGTTGTTAACTCGTGAGCTTGCATTGACGGATCTTGATTTGTAACCTGAACTGAGTCCTTTGGAACAAACCTGCTCGAGCTCGGTCCGAAAGTTGATATATTTTTTAGCCAAAATCCATTTGCTACTGCATAAAGACGATAAACGTGTTAACGAGGCTGCCAACAGGCGGTCTGTGCTATACAATTACCTCATAGGTCGCCATTCTATTTAACATTTAGGTATCCAGACGTGCGTCTCGCCTATATTCTGCCGCTGAATACCATATGTGCGAGGGGTTCGGCTCATCAGTGGACTACCCAGAATGCCACGTGCACTCTATTGACCATATCGGGGGAGGCAAAATAGTGCGCGCGC